CTCCATTGATTTACACCTCTCCTTCGGAGTGTGCCTTCATAAACCTTAGTGCCTTTGAATCCCTTTTCCAATATACATACCTAGTTAACCTCTCCTGAACCTTGATCCCTTAGTTTGTATTGTCCCTTAAGAAATTGATTAATTGCAAACTAAACATTGGTCTCAGCAACAATTTGTGAGCGTGGTGGGAGGTACTTTAATCTACCCTCTTAGAAACGAACCCTCAGCAGCTGTTCCTCTGACAGAGGTGGACACTCAGGCTTTTTAACAAACCTCTCCTCACTGGGGGGGGAAGTCGCGGAAACATCCTGACAGCCGGTAGCTCTGGTACCGGCCCGCGACAATGTATTACCCAGATTAAGAGAAAAAACAGGAGCTGAAAAACAGTTTCCCTTTAGCATCACAGTACACCGAGCCTTGCCCAGCCCGAGCTCCCGGGGCCGGTGGCCAACTCGGCAGCATCGTTGCCACCTGGTGGCTACTGCAGAACGCGCTGCTGAGCTGCGGGAGCCTCCAGCTCCCGCCCGCGGGGGCGGGGGACCCGCTGCCCACGGCAGCCACAGGCTCTGCCGAGCAGGCGCAGGGCCCTGTGCCCCCTCCCCGGGAGGAGAAAAAAAATAAATACAGGGAAAAAAATACAAAAAAAGTTTATTGCAAACTACTACAATAATTTATTGAAGCAAACTGCATGCGAGTGAAGGAGAGACATCGAGGGGAGGAGGAGCTGCAGGAGGGCTGTGTCAGTTTCAGGGTTTCCGATGGGAGTGGGAAGGAAGCTACACCAGTCCCTCCTACATCAGGGGTTAGCAGGCTGTGGTTAGAGGACAGACAGGCAACTGGCCAAGACCAGGAAAAGAAAAAAGACCTAGGAGAGGTGAGTATGGAAGGACAAGGCAGGGAGTGGCAGGGATTAGAGGTGTCCGGACCAGGAAGCAAAACAGCTGCTCAATTCTGTGTTGCAAAAATGCAGCCAGTGGCAAATTGTGCTCCACTCGGGATGGCTGGAGCAGACACAGGATGGAGCAGCTTCCCTTGCCTCCCAGCCAGGTGTCAAGAGTTGTGTCACCAGAGGTGAGCAAGCCCTTGACCCATAAGCATTTTGGCGCCATCCCTCAGGAAACAAAACCCCGAGCTCTCTGTTTAGTGTTCTGTGCATGGCTCTGCCCACCCCACCCCTCCCACGGGCACGATCAGCAGCTCCAGCAGCTCGGTCTGCAGCCACGGGGGAGCCCCGGGGCCCGGGAGCCGCTGCCCACGGCAGCCACAGGCTCTGCCGAGCAGGCGAAGGGCCCTGTGCCCCCTCCCCGGGAGGAGAAAAAAAATAAATACAGGGAAAAAAATACAAAAAAAGTTTATTGCAAACTACTACAATAATTTATTGAAGCAAACTGCATGCGAGTGAAGGAGAGACATCGAGGGGAGGAGGAGCTGCAGGAGGGCTGTGTCAGTTTCAGGGTTTCCGATGGGAGTGGGAAGGAAGCTACACCAGTCCCTCCTACATCAGGGGTTAGCAGGCTGTGGTTAGAGGACAGACAGGCAACTGGCCAAGACCAGGAAAAGAAAAAAGACCTAGGAGAGGTGAGTATGGAAGGACAAGGCAGGGAGTGGCAGGGATTAGAGGTGTCCGGACCAGGAAGCAAAACAGCTGCTCAATTCTGTGTCCCAAAAATGCAGCCAGTGGCAAATTGTGCTCCACTCGGGATGGCTGGAGCAGACACAGGATGGAGCAGCTTCCCTTGCCTCCCAGCCAGGTGCCAAGAGTTGTGTCACCAGAGGTGAGCAAGCCCTTGACCCATAAGCATTTTGGCGCCATCCCTCAGGAAACAAAACCCCGAGCTCTCTGTTTAGTGTTCTGTGCATGGCTCTGCCCACCCCACCCCTCCCACGGGCACGATCAGCAGCTCCAGCAGCTCGGTCTGCAGCCACGGGGGCTGGGGGGCGACACACGAGCACATCAGCTGCTGGTGGCCAGGGCCCCGGGCAGGAGACATGTCACCACGCGGCCCAGCCAGCCCCACGCCTCCCCATCCTGAAGACCCACAGTGCTGTGGGGTGAAACCATCAGAGTTGGGTTTGAACACATTTCATCATGCTGCTTCTCTTTAGTCTGCAAGGGGAGAGGACCGGCTGGCTACCTGGAAGCTTTCTGCTGGAAGTCACAGTAATTTGATCCAAGCAAGAAATCGGATCATCCCAACTGTGGAAAGTGGTTCAGTTTAACACTACACCACCACAGACCTGACATACACTGTCCCAGGGGACCCACATTCAGGTATGAGGGGCCCTCACCTCCAGAAGTGGCTTGTGACCAGACCCTGCAGGCACGGGAGCCCTGGTGCAAACACGTGGGATGCCCACACCCAGGGCATAAGACATAAGCTTTGCAAACTGTTAAGCCACAAACCGCCCCAACACCAGAATTGTTTCAACTTGCTCTAACAGATACCAGTGTAAGGGGGGAAGGGAGGGGGCAGATCAGGACAAATGGCCCAATAAAAGCTGCCAGGCTTGGGCCACAGCTGCATTTCCAGGCAGCACAGGGGACAGAGTGGGTGTTCAGAGTCAGTTTCCTGTGAAAAGTTTCCTATTACATTCCATGTTTTATTGCCATTCTCGAAACCCCAGGTACCCGATTTGCCTATCTGCTCTGTGCTACAGACCAAGTTAGCTCATCTTGTGCTCAGGCAAGATACTTCAGCTCTGCTCCCAATCACATAAGCCCAACCAAAAAAAACAAGCAAACAAATAAAAAGCCCAGGTTATTCTTCACCTCTTTCAAAAACACTATGAATTCAAGGCCACTGAATCTCCACACAAAGTTCCAGGTAAAAGCAAATAGATCCAAGTCTCCATAGCAGACACATCATATCCCATGTAAACTTTCCCAAGAGCTCAGAGCTGTCCTAACTACACCAGCAGGCAACACTTGAACTGCCACGTTTCTTGGAAAGCAGGGGTACTCGCACAGAAGAAAGAAGCTTTGAGAACACTGCTGCACAACACCCTCCACCCAAAACAGGGGCAGGGAGAGAAGCTGACAGCCCTAGTCCCACGTCAGTTTACTGCCTTGGATAAACAAGCCCGAGACAACCGTATCTAGTCCCTGCTTCTGTATCTTTGTCTAGATCTGGTGAGGCAGAGTTGAATGAGGAGCACAACATCCTCCAGCAGCAAGCAGCTCACAACTGTTCTAAGACACAAGTTCCTGGCTAATGATGTTCTTCCCTGAAAGGCTAGGGAGCAAGGGGGAGGCAAGAAGAGCATTTAATGCAAGCTCACCCTGGCCTGGGAAGGAAGGAGACAACAGCCAGCTGTTCCACCACTCACCTCATCCTCCTGCTAAAACGCTGCTGCAGAGGCTCCCACTGCACACAGGCTCATCTCCAGGGACTCTCCCCCTACTCTGGGAAAGCTGCGAGACATCTGACTCCAGCAGGCTGCCTTCCCCTGGGCTCTCCTGGCTGCTGTTGCGACAGCGTGACGCGCTCCCTGCAGCTCCAGTGCGAAGGAGCACGCTGGGAAACGGCCTGAACCCCTTCCACCCCCACCCCTTAAGAACATAACTCAAAAATACCGACCCTTTTTTAATCAATAAATAAGGAATCTTGTTACCACAACACAAAAACGAAACATGTTCAAAGTGCAAATTACTGTCGTCAAACTGGGATGCTCCTCCTTGCCTTCCCACGCAGGGCTCCCGTAGCCCCCGGGCCTCTCCAAGCAAACATGATCTATGAGCCAGGGCGTTCCCTCGACTTCCTGCCAGAGCTGGAGCAGAGGAGTGCGGTGGGGAGAGGGACGTGCTCTGTCTCACAGCTCACCCTGCTGAGGGGGCCTAAAGTGCCAAGCCAAACTCCCAGCCCTGGGAGGAAGAATGAGACTGCAAGGACCAGAGTGCAGCGATGCATAGAAGTTGGGATCAGGGGTGAGAGGGAGTCCTAAGAAACTTGTCCAGAGCACATCAAATGCTTTCTAGTTTGCGAGTGGGGCCACGTCAAGGAACCAGAAAGGCATCTGCGTTGGGGTAGAGCGAGAGGTTTCAGGAGTGCCCCCTGCAGAAACCTATCGCTCAGTCCAACCTGCTCTGGTAATGGCAGCATCCGCCCCTTTCTACAAAGGAGCAGCGCGAGAGAGAGAAGTGCTTGGGAGAAAGGATGCGCTGTGATCCACACTGGAGGGAGCAGACCCTGCGGTTATTTACTAGTATTGTAAGTGTTCTTTAACTTTTCTCTCTTTCAGTAAGTGTCTCAGCTTTTTTTTTTTTCCTTTTAAATACAGAGTCCAAACTGTCCCAGCACCCACGTGCTCCCTGCCCACTAGGGTCCAGCGGAGTCTGAATCTTCGATGAGCACCTCTGTGGTGGCTCCCAGGATCTCTGTGTTCATGACCAGCCCCTCTGGGTTTGCGCTGCTGCCGCTGCCCACAAAGAGCTTGCCATCAGCCACCAGGCTGACACGCTCGGTGCCTCCGCAGAAGGTCTTCGGGACCCCCTCGGGGGTCAGCAGCAGGCAGTCAGCGGGGGCCGTGCTCCCCAGGGGGTCAGGAAGGAGGGGGAGGCCCTGGCCGTCGGTGGGCGGCACAATGGCCTCAGGACTAGTGCCCAGGATGTCAGTGCTGGTGATCAGGGCACCTGCATTGGCAGCCAGTGCTTCAGCAATAAGCACTTCAGGGTGGCTCTTGGCTTTGTGAGCCACCACGCTGTCCTTCTTCTCAAACTTCTTGCCACAAATGTTGCAGGAGAACTGGTAGAAAGAGTCTGCATCATGCTTCTTCATGTGCCAGTTGAGGGAAGCCTTTTGCCGGCAGGTGAACCCGCAGATCTCACACCTGGGAGGGGAGAAGGGGAAGGTCACAACAAAGGGACATCCCCACACACTTGTGAGGACAGCAGTAGCAAAGAGACAACCCAGGACAACAGCAGGGACTCGCTACAATGGGATGTCACTGTAGCTCCAGCTCTTCCAGTTTTATTTGCAGAGGGCTTATGTTCCTCAGATCTTTCCTGAGACACTGCCTCAAGGAGCAGGTGAGACAAGTGGCAGCTCAAACACTCCTACAGGTGTGTGTTTAAAGAAAGCTGGGAGACCAAGAACAGGTTCCAGCCTTGACTTCAGAGCTGCTCCTGCTCTTGGTGCAGCCCAAGAACACCCCTGGTGTACCCAAGGGTCCTCAAAGTAGGGGAGCAAGGGGCAGGCAGAGGTACTCACTGCAAGGGCTTCTCGCCCGTATGGATCATTCGGTGCACCGCCAAGTTATGAGAACTCTTAAACGCCCGGGCACAGTACTCACAGATGTAATCCCTTTGATCTAAAAAGCAACACCAGTTGGAGCATTACTCTCTCACAGACCTGCTCCCTTTCCCAGCTCTCCCATGTTGCAGGCAAAGCTGCCCAAGAAGTAGCAGAACTAGAAGTGCTGGGAGGTCACCTGCCATAGGAAAGGAGGTGCCCAAAAATACAACACAGCAGCTGGAGAGTTAAGGAGTGATTAAGACTCTCCTAAGACTCACCTAATTATCCATTCTGATCAATACTGAAGGACTGGCAATTTAGGATAGAGTTTGACTTGGTTTTTTCCTCTACAGAACCCCCGACTGCTACTTGCCAAGGGGTGAATTAAAAGCCTATTTCTTTAATTTCCTTAAAATACAGTAATCCAGAAGAAAATAACATTGTGCTGCTGCTGCAAATCTTTGTCACCTGCCTTGGCTTCAGTCTCCCCAGAAGTCCTAGAGCTTTTCTATTTTTCTCCCCTCCCTCTCCTCTCTGTTCACTGATCTGAGGAGGAGTTTGTGTCTGTTTCCCACCGCCCTGTACCTGTGTGGTGCTTGGCATGTCGGAGCAGCTGCTTCTGGAGTCGGAAGAGCCGGCCACAGGAGGGATGAGGACACACGTATTTTTTCTTCAGCAAGTGCTGGTACTTTATGTGATGCTACAAAGGAAGAGTGAAAGGTTGTAGACCCTTGTCTTTACATGGCTAAGAGAACAGCTGAGACACATGGATCCCAGATGGCCCCTTGGCCAGCCACCAGACCCCAGTCTCTGACAAGACACCCTTACAGCACAAACACAAAGGCTTTGATCTCCACTTGAGAAAAGACAAATGAACGTGGACCCTTAGTAATTGGGCAGAAAGACACAACTGGCCACAGGTGGTTACATCTACCAAAACATCACTATTAGAAAGGGTGTTTCAGTGCCAGTGGAGGATTAGATACCTGCTCTGAATGGCCCCTCCCTGCCCTCAGACATGCCACTCAGGAAGGGAAAAGCCTCAACCAACCTGCAAGTACCGCGGGTGAGCCAGGACTGTGCCGCAGCCTTCCATCTCGCAGCGGACGTACTGTATTGGGGGCTTCTTCCTGAGGAGGCCATAAGGAGGGGCAGTGGTTAGAGGATGCAGCTGAAGACAGGGCAACAGCAAGAGAAATGACTGAGTGCAGCTCAGTGATGTGAGAGCAGAGGACTACTGCTCCAACATTCTTGTTTGGGCTGTGCTCACACTATCTGGTATTTCACTGCACTCCTGGCACTACTTGAGGGCTCTTCCCAGAGCTGAGAAAACCACAGAAGAGAGTTCCCAGAACCTTATCAGTGGGTGATGCTAGGCTAAGGATCTACTCAGAAGTGAGAGGGAGGGAGTTAGGGTTCAGTTGGAAAAAATCAATCCCACAACTACAAGGAGAAGGGAGAAGGAAAGGAGGGAAGTCGAGGCATGCTGCTATTATTTTATTTTTTCTTCCCTAGAAGGCAGATTTCTGTCCTGTACAAAAGATGGCTTTGAGATAATCAACATCTTTGTGTAGGACACAAGGGAAAAAAGTCTTCAGAACAGAACTGAGGGGAACACGTACCTTCTCTTAGGCAGCCTTGGGCTCTTGTCATCCTTTCTCCTCCTTCCCCTCCTGTAACAGGGTTACAGAAACAGAATTGAAAGAAGCTTCTCTACACTGGTAGTGGGCAGAGTTTTTTAAGTGTATGCTATAAAGCAGGAGCACGCTTTTAAGAAGTACTACAGAACTCTTCTATGGCAGAAAATGAACACTGCACCCAGCAAGTCATCTTTCCTGGCAAGCCAGCCATGTGGTCTGCACCAGAACGCCTGAAAAGACTCTAAGGAAAGCTCTTTCAGGAGATGGGCAGGTCCCCTGGAGAAGGTAAGTAACCGGACCAACGTGCAAAGTGCCTCTGCACTCTGCAGAACTGCCACAGACACGGGTCGCTCCCTGGGGAGCTGTGATCCCCATGCTTCTGATATACCTGGGTAACACTTTTCTGCACGACATTTGGTGGTAGACATTTGGTGGTACGTGGCAGACCTCACATCACCCGGCCTCTGCAGACTAATCAGGCTGCAGCTGCACAACTACCTGCAGATCTAGAGCACCACAGGCTCCTGAGCACGGCTACCTGGCTCCAGTGTGTCTCCAATGGGTGCCCCACCCTTCCATCATTATCTGCTAAGCTCTCTGGATTTCGCAAAAGAAGCCTTGATGGGCCACCTTTGTTAGGTCAGACTGAGGCCCGATTTCTGGTCTTAACCCCTGCGGGGGGGTATTCTCTCGACCCAGGTAGAATAACAAATTAATGGAGTTCCCTGCCGGGAAGCTCGTTGGGTTTTCCTTGGAGCAGCAAGTCTGCCAGGATGCCTGCTCCTTAGGTCGGGACACCAACTAAGGAAACTTCTCGAGATTGTGACCTCATCTTTGGCATGTGATATATTTCTTCTAGATATATCTTTGCATGAGCCTTTTCCCTGCTGGGCAAGTGATTCCAGGTACCTGAGGGGGAGGGTCTCTCTTTTGTCTGAGCGTGCACATGTGGGGCTGTTATCATCCACGTTAAGACTAGTCAAAAAAAGCTCAGTTATTCTTAAGTAGTTGTGGTGTAATGTATTAGTATTCTGTAATGTATTAATATTTTGTAATGTATTAATGACTGACATTCAAACCTGTGGTATAAATTTTGATTTATCAGTGTTGCTTAGAATAAACATTCCTAATAAGCCCCTGCATGTTTCTCGGTGCCTCCATCATGGCTTCAAGTTTTTTCTTTTAAACCTGCAACTGTCCAAACAATTTGTGATCTTATGGTTAAATTATTCCCTTTCCAGGCTGCACATCAGCAGACAAGATTCTACTCTTTGAAGTTTCTATTGCAGACAATTAGCAAGCTATGGCTTCATTTACTGCCAGCTATAGAAAAACCACTCCAGTGCAAGTTGGAGGCTGATTCAGAAGAAGACAACATTCCTGAGAAATAAACACTTCATATGGTTTGCTCTCACAACCACACCCATTTCCTAATGCATTTTTTATAAACATGTAATTTTGCCAACAGAGTCCAGAACTGATGGTGCACCCTGTTTCCTCTGCTCTGTTGGGTAACGTTTCACACCACGTGCAAAACATCAATCTGTGTGACCAGGAAGAACAGGATTAATGAGGTAGCAGATATTCTACAGCCTCCTGAATTAACTACAGCAGCTCACACACCTGTCAAGACAAAAAAAAATAAATCTATATTCTGTCTGAGCAGACCTATGTTTACAAGTAAAATGCACCCTGCCAAGCAACAGTGGTGTCCAGAACTTTGTGCCTGCTTGACCACGTGGCTGAGACACTTCTAGGAGACAAATGGAAAACCATTCTAGACTGTACCGAGACGTCTTTATTGAACAGGCACTCGGCATTTCAGGCTGCACAGGTTTTGCTACACACAAAAGTAGTGTCTGATCCAAACACCACAACCAGCCTCAGAAAGCCCTCTCTAACAGGAAAAAAATATTCTCAAAATACCAGCATGCTTGTTCCTCTCCAATGTAAACCAGCTCTGCAGCAGCTTAGAAACAAGAGAAGTTTAAACGACGGTGTCAAGAGCCCAATGCTGCAGCCCAGCAGAGGGAGCCCCGTTTGTTCCAACTGCTCACAGAGGAGCTTAAGTACAAAAACGGCTTTTTTTTCCCCCTTCACACTACCCCAAAAGAATGTCTTTCACACAGACATATAAATCCAATCTACCTCTTGTTCCCAGAAGAAAAGCTTCAGTGTAGAGTTACAGTGACAGCATACCCAAAGGTTTCGAGTCTCCACTTCAAGCACTAGTAGCTGACAAGGTAGCAAAAGTTTGTTCTTTATTTCTCCAAAACGAGGAAGAACACAGCTGTTTTTCCTGAATACTGGTAGGTTAGTCCCAAACGTACTAAGAGGACACTTACCACATGACACATACAAGGTGTCTGCCTCTAGGCACACAACAGAAAAGCTGCTGCCTTCTCAGACTGGTTTTCCAAGACAGACTAACCTGCTTCAGACATCACAACATACACAAGTAGGCTGACTAAACCACACTATGGAGAAAAAAACCTCAAAGTAAATGAAAATACCAACTCTTCTATTTTTCCTTGTCCAACATGTGCAAGATAGTAGGAAGGAGGACTTCTGTAAGAACAAAAGGTTCTGTCCTATTACCTTTCAGGCCCAGAGGAGGAGGGGGGAAGTCAACAGCAAAACACTATTCTACACTAGCAAGAATGCAACATATACAATACACACTGCTACAAAAAACTGCAGTTTTACTCACTTCCTTGGTGGTTCTTCATCTTCCTGAAACTCATTCTCTTCTTTCACTTCTAATTTAATCTCCTTCTGTTTCTCTTTTTCCTCTTTCACCTTGCTAGTTTTCCTCCTTTGCTTTGGCGTTTCCC